CTGCAGTACAGAATACTTCATTCATAATACGTTTTGACATAGACAGAATATTAACACCAAGTGGACAGAAGTTAAAGTGTCTGCAAATGCTTTTCGTTAGCTTGAAAATAGTTTTATCTGAACCATCCAAACCTTCGAACTTCACTATATGGTTGTAATTTCTTATAGCATATCTTATAGCATCTTTGTCATCTACTATGGTTATTTTTGACTCAATAGGAGATAGAATAGTTTTGCCATAAATGCTGTTCAGAATGAGTTTTATAATTTCTTGTAAGGGGTTTTCTTCTTTCTTATACTTTAACCTTAACTCAAACAACTTCTTTACTTCATCTCTTATTCTCATATCTCTGTTTCCATCGTAATAGTATCCTTGCAACACTTCACATTTGACACCTTGATATTTTATGAGGTCTTGTAATGTTATATGGTCAACATACATGAGACAGCAAGTGTTTGAACTTCTTGGAACGTTAAGTTCTGGATTTAGTTCAGGGTCGCAAACTATTAAATGAAAGTGTCTGGGTATACCAATCTCTGTTATCTTAATGAGAACAAAGAAGCCAGACATAAACTTTTCACCAATGGGTTCCTTTTGGTCATCATCGAATAAATGTCTCATGAGATACTCTGTGTTTAACATTTCTTCCTTCAATACTTTTGGAATACCTTCTAAAGTATAAAGTCTTGCTATAGCTGAAGGATATAATGAAACAGTGTCGAAGTCAGCAATGAGTTTCTTTTTGCTCTTTTGTTTCATGTTATCTGACAACATACATCTTCCACCTTGAATGCATCTCGAAATAAATTCTCTTGGTTTATTTGAGAGGTCATAAAGATTTCCATTCGGGAAGTATACTCTGTTCTCAAACAATTTGTTAGCAATTGAACAAATACTAACGTAGTCATAAACGTTTAAATCAAACTCTTTCAATAAGTCATTGCGGAACTTTACAAAACCTTCTCTTAAAATTCTTACATCTTGTTTGCAGTAAAACGTGCTATATTTTTCTAAGTCGAAGTGGTTCTCATCTATTCTGCAACCTTTGATGGAATCTATGTTTTTCATAAATGTATCTGCATCCCGGATAAACTTACATGCTTCAGAAATGACACCAGTTCTGTTGTCATTTGCTAACAAAACACTGCTGTAGTAGTTATATGGAAATACTTCTTTCGGTCCTGTTTGTAAGTTAAACATAGCAGGAAATAGTTTAAGCTTCTTATTTATAACACTGTAAGAGTCTTTTATAATAATTGCCCGTCCTTTATATAAACCAGTTATTTGCATTGTTCGTGAACCTTTAATGATGGGAGTTCCTTTCACTTCTGTCATGTGTCTTAAGATGAAGTTTATGTCATAACTGAGGTTGTGAAAATATATTAAACTCTTGTCAGGGAGTCTTTCCAAAAATTCTGTTGCACAGTTTTGACCCCAAATGCTTTCACTCACTGAACCATCTTCACTGTCATAACAGATGTTAAAAGCTTTATGAAAGCCATCCGTACTACACTCAAAGTCAGCAAAGAAAACGTGCTCAGGAATGAATTTACATTTAGCTTTATTTACTTCTTTTGACTCTGCTTTCTTCTTCAGTTGTACACAATACTTTGGAGCATATGTCAAATCTTTAAATGGTGCAAGGTTCTGTTTATATAAGTCAGTAGTATATGTGAAAAGTTCTCCATAAGAAATAGGTTCGAAATATTTGCACTCCCACAATGTTTTCATAACATCCCATAACGGTGTTGTTCTATCATAACGAACTACATATTTATCTTCTCTCTTTGTATAAATCTTCATCTGTTTCTCAATGTTCATTCCACCACAAGCTTTGAGAATTTCTTTATAGTTTCGAATGAAGTATGTTGTCATTGGAAGTCTTTCATTTAGCATGTAGTGGTCTTCAACAAGAAGTAAGTCAATAGTTCTAACAGTTTCGCATTCTTTTGGTATATATCTCTTTATTTCATTATGTCTTGAGTCATTGAAATAACCAATGGTAACATTAAATGCTATACCTGTTGCGTCAGAAATTTCTTGTACTTTACTTTGAGGAAAGTCTCTAACACGAATGACTTCTCTCATGTGGTCAATAGTTTCTTCATTTACTCCAGCCTGAATGCAAGCATAAACGAAACAATTGTCCTCTGTCATAAGTATTGCAGTTCTTTTGTTCAGTTCATTGAAGATTTGGTAGCGTTCAAGATTTATAGGTAATGTGCAAAGATACTTCCATAACTGACCGCTTCTCTTCTTATAAAACTTCTTTTCACCATTATCTTTCCAAAAGCTTTCTATAAGTGCTGGGTTTCCTGTTTGCTTAAGAGCTTCCAAAATGGCTTTCTGGTCATTTGTCAGTGTGCTTTCATCTCTATATGGTCTCTTTTTTGGTTTGCCTTTCTTTACATCTGACATCGTTAAGCCTTCATATTCTGTTAAATCATACATCTTTATTTCAGTAAGATTCTTTATGTTTGTCAAGAAGAAGTCATAGTGCATTTCAACAATACCTGCAGCATTTGCTTCTATCTCTGATATAAAGTTCTCCTTCAAGAGCTGATGTAGTAATGTTCCAATATTATTGAGGTTTAACGTAGAACATTCATACTTTCCACCAAGTTTATAACATACCATCCATCTTTGTTGCGAGTTTATTTTAATTTTCTCTAAGAGTCTCATGAAAACCTTACCGAAATGTTTGTGTAAATATTCTCTGTTTGGTTCATCTAAAGCTTCGATGTTAAAGTCAATGAGTCTATTGCCTGACTTCACATTTCTCTTCCTATTCTCTTCATCTTTCTTTAACCATCTCTCACCTTCTTTTGGTTTGTCGTCAATGGAACGAATGACATCGTTAGCTTTGCGAACTTGTTCTATAGCACTTTTAAACATCTCTCTTCTCTGTTGTTTCAGTGTGTCGTCTCTTCTTCTTGTTTCACCAACGTTTGCATTTGTTATGTCAAACATTTCTTGACGAACATCATGCGAAAGAGCTTTACGAGTATGACCAACGTTCGCATTTGTTATGTCAAACATTTCTCTTCTTACTTCATGAGGTACTGAACGTCTATGATATAAGTCAATAGCAATGTCATTTAAAGGAAATGCTCTTGCATGGACTTCGTCCTCGCCGCGTTGCGGCTTTATGAACTCATGAATTCTATCATAACTTATTGCACCATTGTAGTCTTTAATGAAGTCAGCGAGTGCTTTTTTGTTTGTCGCGTAATGTTTTGCAACATCTATATTAGCTTCTGTAAGAAGTTGTTTTATTTCCGAGTGTTCTAACTTAGACAACTTCCGATACATCTTTAGTAGGAAATAAAAAAATATTTTTTCGAAAAAATAAACTTAGAAAAATTATTTCTTTATATATTTGCCATTCCGAACTTCGAAAAGATGTTTTATACCAGCATAGAATTTTTCTCTAGAGCTTGGTCTTATATCGTTTTCATGACAATATTTTCTATATTCTTCATATAAAGCCTTTTTTTCATACATTTTATAAGGACAATCTAACCAGAATAGCGCATATCCATTTTCGTTATCTAGGTCTCTATATGTTTGTGGAATTTCGCTTTCTTCTGTTTGTAGAATTTCGCCTTCACTATTTAGTTCTATGTATATATATTGTGGAATTTCGCTTTCTCTATTTAGTTCTATGTCTATATATTGTGGCTTAAAAGGATGTGGGCAAGAAGGGTCTGGCGCTATGTAAAAAGTTAATTTTTCTGTCATCTTTTCTATCGGATAAAAAATATTTTTTGAAAAATTAGATTACATTTTTTTAAGTTATTTTTCAAAATAATTTAATATTTTTATTTTAATGAAACACATGCAAGATTGCAAGTTCTTTTCATACAATGCTCTCGCTACTGCCATCAAGAATGAGTTCAATGGTTCTGCAAACGTTAATGTTATCTTTAACAAGAAGTTTGTGAAAGAATCTAAGTTCGGTCAGTATGTCAGACCATTAGCTATTGTCATTGACCGCAAACGTTATACTTCACAAGAGTTAGCAGTAGTTTTGAAACAAAAGGGTTTCTTCGTGAATGTCAAAGATACTCATTATACTGTTATAAAGAACTCCAACATTGACTTCTTCAGTATTGCTATGAATCTTTCCGAACAGAAAGAATATAAGAAGGGTGAAACATCTGTGAAATATTATCCTTCATCTCTGAAGACAATAACGAACAAAGATGTTATACAAAAGTTCTTACCAAAGGTTGAAGAAGCTTCTATTGACATTGACGAAGGAAGTGAAATGGTTGAAGAAATTGACCCTGAAGCTATTTAACCAAAAATATATTTTTGGTGAAGAGGTGAGATTTCACCTGTTTTTTCACCTCATTCTCTCTTCGTTAATGTTGTCGTGACTTCTTCGTTAATGTTGTCGTGACTTCATTCTTCCTCTTTGAAGTTATCGAAATATTCTATTTTTTTCTTCAGTAATGGTAAGTCTTCTTTGAAGGTAAGTATTGTGCAACCTTTGATGTCATAGTGTGTTTGAGGAAGAGTATTTTTGACAATTTCTTTTATTTGCTCATTCGGTGTCATTGAAATCGGTAAGTTTTCACGATAGAACCAGTTTCTGTCAGATTTATATATTTTAGCAAGGTCGTAAAAGCTTTTGTTGTTTCTTCTGACTAAATGCAACATAACCATATCTCTGTCTTCTTCATTCTCCAACTCTTCAGTATAAATCATATACTTATAGTTCTTTTCCTTTCCTTTTGGTACTGAACGCGGTATTCTTTTCTGTATGCTTTTGTCTTTGGATTCAATGACTTCATCTTTTGCTTGAAGTTTCTTTTCCATCTCTCCACGTTCTTGTCTGTGAAGTTCGTCAAGAAGTTTGTAAATATTCCAAGCATAACGTGGTGAAGCCCACATTGCAACTGCATTTACTAAAAGTCTATGAACATAATATCCTCTCAAACCGTTTGGCAATTTTTCACGGTTTTCATAGAGTTTTGGCGACTGGGTTTTTACCTACTCGCTGTTCTTCACTGTTTTCAGAAAAAAGTACGTCTCGCTGTGCTTCACTTAATAGTTCTATGGTGCTTTGGTTCCTAAACCAGTCTTTAGGAAGCTTAGTATCTGGAGCAAAACAAGCCGTCAAAATACTTTGCATTTGGTACATGTCGTCTTTGACAGAACGAATGAGTCTCAATTGTTTGTTATACTGTATGTATTCGTATTCTTCATTTATGACTTCATGAACGATAGCAGTTGTTGTGTTCTCTAATGTTGACATATCTGTCTTTACATACAGGATAAAAAAATAAATAAAATAAAAACTAACTTATTTTTTTTTGAGATAAACACTATTTCTTCACAACATTAAATTTTATCCTGTATGAAATGACTTTAAAAAGATTATTGACTGACTTCGAATACTATCTCATTGACGCACTGACAGACCCTCAAAACTGTGTTGAAAGTTCTTTAAGCTTTAAGATTGAAGGTACGACGCATTTTGTCTTCACTTACGTATTGAAAGAATATGACCGTTATCATAACGAAGTGAATCAAACACTAATAAAAATTTGTAGATAAAAAATTGGTTAACAATGAATATTTTAAACGTGAAGACCCAAACACTGCTGGAGATGATGAAGAATACAGACAAGTTATTGAAAAAAATAACGCAAGATTAGATGCAATAGAAAAGAAGTTTAATGAATGTCTTACAAACACGTATGAATATCTTATGCAGTGGGAAGCCAGATGGAAATAAATTTACGTCAAATATGCAATTTATAAAATCTTATGTCGACAGGCTACGTAGCACAGTGGTCTAAGGTGGTGTTATGGAGGGGTCAGGGTCTGTGGTTCGAACCGCGACAGCGCCGTATTTTCTTATTTTCTTTATTTGTCTTGTTTGTCGTGAATAAAAAGTGTCATAAAAGTGCTCTATCTTCCACGGGAATAAATAAAAAATTTACTTTATTTCTTCTTTATTTCTTTGTTCCCGTGGAAGAAGGGTTTTTGCCGTTTTTTTCTCAGCCGAAATCAACGATTTTTTCATTTTTGGAATCCTTAGCAAATGAGGAATCTTTTCTCTCGTGGAAGCTTTGACCAAAAATATAATTTAGGTGAAGAGGTGAGATTTCACCTCTTTTTCACCTAATTTTTCACCCTCAGCCGCTAAGCGGCGAGACCCAAAGGGTCTTGACTTTGTCATAACTTCTTCGTAAATGCTTTGTCATAACTTCTTCGTAAATGCTTTGTCATAACTTCTTCGTAAATGCTTTGTCAAGATTTCATCGTAAATGCTTTGTCATGACTTCTTCGTAAATGAGTGTAAATGACCAAAAATATAATTTAGGTGAAGAGGTGAGATTTCACCTCTTTTTTCACCTAATTTTTCACCTCTTTTTTTCACAAGCGTTTTACATGAATTGTACGATGTATATTTGAAATCCTAAACAGTTTTGTAGCTTCTATTTCTTCGCTGAGGATATCAAAAGTTTTAACAATGCCGAAAGTCTCTTTATATTTCTTCTTGACGTCAGATAGAAGGAAATCTTCTACTGTTGGATAGTTTTTGTTCAGAAATGCTAACATGTCCATTTTATCTTCTGCTGGCTTTTCTGCTTCTTTCTTTAAGTCTGCATAGTCGTTTCGCATTCTTTCTATCTCTTTGACGGAGTAGTTATATTTCCTTATTGCTGCTTTACATTTTGAACATTGTGGGTTCATTTTTGCATTATACATTGAAATTTGACCTGCTAGAACAACTAAAGCGTCAATTGCTCTCTTCATCTCAAACATAGCGGGTCTTATTTGTTCGTTCCATACTTTGCCTCTTCTATCTTTATCTCTTATTTCCCAAACACATTTTGCAACTAATGAAACAAAGTTGTCGTAGGTCTTAAATTCTTCAGATTTATATATGTCAGAAATATTTTTATATACCATGTCGCAATCTTTGTCCATAACTTTATGGTTGCAATGAAAACCAAGGAATTCATAATTTACTTTACGTATGAACTTCTTTATTTCTACTGAGTCAGTTGCTTTGACTTCAATTTCGTCGAATTCAGGAATAGTTAGTTTTTGATGCTGAATTTCAGGTAGTTTAGGTAAATGGTCAATAATGTCCTGCATTTCATAAAGATACTGTTCATTTGTTTCATCTTTCGCACTACAGTCTAAATTACTTGTTAAAAGTTCTTGCTTTATCTTCTGGATTTTTGTTTCGAAAGTAAATGAAGAAGGAATGAAGCTTTTCATCTCTACTAACATAGATGTTGGATTCATGACTAACGAGTTTGGTGAAGTTGTTGTGGACAGAGTCCCGCCGTTCGCGGCTTGAATTGTTGTTGTGCCGATTGTTGAAATCATATCTTTTATACAAAATAAAAAATAAATAAAAATAAAACTAACTTTATTTTTTCTATCTTAAGGAAATTCACGAAAATTCAAGAGGTGAAAAAACAGGTGAGAAAACAGGTGAAATCTCACCTCTTCACCTATAATATATTTTTGTCTGATTTACATCCAACGAAAAAGTTTAGAAGAATTTTCTTATTCTTTCTGGCATGTTTTTGTCTTTCCAGTACTCCCGCTCTAATGGTCCCAGATGTGTTGGCTTTGACTCTCTCAAGTTCTTAGATGGTATAACATCTTCAACGCCTCCTTCATATCTTACTTTATAAGTGTCATCGTTTATGTTGTAGCCAAGTATTTCAATAACCACTCCTCGCTTTGCTTCGTCAATGGTTTCAGCAAGTTTGCCATTACTACTTTCGACTAATTTATGTCGAGGGTAAAATGCTATGGAGTCGTCAGCAGCTTTTATAAGATATCCATTACCTTGCGTAGAGTCTACGATATAATAATTTCGACTTAACCTTAAACGTTTCTTTGTCAACGGTTTGTCGTCAAGAACTACACGAACTTTTGTACCAGGAATGAGGGTAAATTGTGTTGAATTTCTGATATTTTGTGTTTGGCTTCGTTTCTTTTGTATATACTTTTCTTCTTGTTGTTGTGTCATTGAATTTGGTGTATGTCCTGTTGTAGAATGTGTTGAGGAATTTAATACTTCGAGAAAATGTTTCATTGTTTCTTCGGTAAAGTCTCGCTCTTGATTTAAATCTCTGAGAGTCTTATGAAGCGGTTAATGATGCCGAGTATGTTATGGTTATGGTCTTCAGTAGTGTAGTGAGTTATGTTATGCTTAATGAGAAAATCTGTGATTTCATTGCTGAGGTATGCACTGTCTTGGTCTGATGTTAAAATACTTGGGCTATGTTCTGCTACAAACTTTTGTAAAACTCTTAACACTTCACGAGTTCCTTTATTTTCATTATATGCAATGCTTTACGAGTGTTAACATTTATGAAGATGAGGAATGGTTTATGTCCTCCTTTTCTGCTTTGAATGAGAGTGTCAAATTGGTATGCGTCAGGAGTGTTGGAGTAAATTGGTAAAAAGTAGTCGTAAGGGTTTATTTTTGTTTGATGTACAACATTTTTGTCAAAGAACCTTTTCACTTCAGCTCTGTTAGTAAATCCCAACTCTTTGCAGCTTCATTGAATTTCTTAAATGACCTCCATGGATGTTGTTCGAATACTTCTTTCAAGCTCATTTATGTAAAGTTAAAGATTTTAACCAACTCGTATCCAAGCGTGCATTGTTATATAAGGAGGCATATAATCTTTTCCATTACCTGCTGGGTCTGTAATACCAGCTACAACATGTGTATGATTTCCTGCAGTTCCACAGAAAATACCTGTGCTAACATCTTTGGGGTCATCTGAGATATCATATCTATTCATTCCCTGTCTATTCGAACCCGCTGCAAGATTTATATAACCTCTTTTTGTTATTGAATGTGAATGGTTTCCTTCCACAGATGTTCTTCCACTGAACCTATGCATATGTGAAGGAAGGTTTTCAATACCTATTTTCTTTGAACCTCCCATCTTCATTGACTGAGTATTAGTGTAGAATGGAAAACTGTCAACTATTTCATACCATCTACCACCAAATAAAGTGTTTGGATTTATTGGATTCATAGACGTATAAACAGCTCCTATAGGATATATTAAATCATATATGCTCATAACTCTATAAACATATTCTAAAGAACTTATGTCATTAAATACCATTTGGAATGTATCTCCCGGATGAAATGTTGCATTTGTTCCACTTTTATAATGTAATGTTAGTTCAATAGAATTATCCAAGAAAAATTCAAAAGTATCTGGTTGAAGACCTCTAACAAATTCAAATGGAGTTGCTGGTTCACCATTTATAATTTCTGTTGTAAATGTCATTGTATCTGGTTTCGAAAATTTCTTTGTTAGTTCTGCATCCACATAAGTTTTGTCTGCTTTCTTATCTAACATTGTTGGTAGTTCATATGCTTCAAAGTTTCTGGCATGACTTTCAATGTTCCTGCAACTCTTATCTAAACTGTTAAGAGTATCTTTTACGCTTGTACTTGGATTTTCTAATGGTGCACTTGAACCAAGGTCAAAGTTCAATATTATGTCGTCTGCTCTAACAGTAGTGAAGGATTTATGTGTATGGTTCTTGTCAGCTTTACTGTCTAATGTAGCTTGAAGTTCATTTATATCGGAGATGTTGTGTTTATGAGATTTCAAAACTTTGTTCGTTGCTTCGAGTTCAACTTTGTCAGCTTTACTTTTAATAGCATCTTCAAACGTTATTTTTGCCTTAACTCTTAACATAAATCTTGGTTCAACTAATACACCGTTAACATTGAAAGTAGAGGCATAAATTTCACCGGTATAACCAAATGCTTCTGGTGCTTTAGCTACATCATACTGTACAGTACAGCTTATGTCATAACCTTTAGCACGAATGTATTTATATCTTCTTTCATTAACATTTTTTGTCTTCGCTTCATCACTTCGTGTTAAATATCCATGGTAGTCCGTTATAATCTGTTCGTCTGAAGTTATATAATGAACATGGTTCTTGTCCGCTTTACTATTTAATGTAGCTTGAAGTTCATTTATATCGGAGATGTTGTGTTTATGAGATTTCAAAACTTTGTTCATTGCGTCAAGTTCATTTTTGTCCGCTTTACTATTTAATGTAGCTTGAAGTTCATTTATATCGGAGATATTGTGTTTATGTTCTTTATCTGCTTTTTCGGCTAATTTCTCTTCTATCTCATTTATTTCAAGTTCATGCCTACCACCACCTCCCGAAGAAGTATTTTTCTTCAGCTCTTGAAGAACGTCCACTTCGCCATCTTTGGTGTCAATAATGAGACTTTGAGTTAAAACCTTTCCTGTCTTAATGGATGTTTGTAAAACTTCTTCTTCACCATGTTCGGGGTCATGGTCGTCATCATATCTTGTGAAATCAGAGATGTTGTCATACATTAAGCATATCTGTCTCAAAAGTTCTGCTATTTGAAACTGGAACGAAAGATATACAGAACTTTCATCATCTCCTAAAGTCAAGTCTGCTTTCTTAAGTATTTCTTGAATGTATGCAATGAGAACAGAGTACCTTGGAAAATATTCGAACAATATTTCATTAGCTGTTGGTTTTGGTGGTTCTTTTGGAGTTTCTGTTGTTTCAGTTCCTTCTGTAGGTTCTGTTGGAGTTTCTGCATCTCTTGACTTCAATGCTCTTGCTCTCAAAGACCTAAATGTTAGAGCACCGGGTTTTACAAAGGACTTTATAAATGCTTTAATAGTTCCTGGTAAGTTATTGTTAGCATTAAGTAAGTTCCTTATGCTTCCATCATGTACGTCCATAGCACTATGTAAAAAATCTATACTTTTCTTGTAGTCAGCAATAGACTGACTGTGATTTTTTAAAGATTTGTCAATACCTTTAAGCCAATCTTCATGCATGTCTGATACTGAGCCAAGAATATCATTTGCTTCCTTTAGTGTATTTTGTGCTTGTCGTAAAGTATCCAATCCCGTACGTGCATTGTTTGCTATACGTCTTACAGTATCTATTTGACTCCTTGTTTCTTGCATCCAACCAGATAAAGTTTTAATAGTATCCGAACCATTTGAAATGAAGTTCAAAGCATTTTTAACGTCATTTAAAACTTCTTCACCAAGTACCGCCCATATCTTTCCGATTTGGTATTGAAGAACTCCATATGAAGCAGCTGTTAAACCAGTATTTATAAGGTCCCATATCCATGATTTAGCAGTTTTTCCATCCTTTCCATCCTTTCCATCCAAACCGTTTTTCGCCTTGAGGTCCTTGAATTCCTTGTATTCCTTGTATTCCTTGTATTCCTTGTGGTCCTTGAGGTCCGGTGTCACCCTTCTCTCCTTTCAGTTCATCTTTATGTTCGTTATAATATTCTAATGTCATAAGGTGTACATCATTACTGCTACCAGCAACGCCGAGAATTTGTTTCTCATTCATGACTAAATTCTTTAGGCATTTAATGTTGTCGTCAAATCGAAAGCTCTTTAACAATTCAATGAGAACATTTAATACTTTCACTAATGAGGCATCTACTGTAGAATTTATATATTGCACCGTTCCATCATTTATGATGGGAACCTTGCTTGTTGTAATGAATGGGTCATAAGTGTTAAAAGTATCGAAATCAATGACTTTTTTAGTTTTTCCATCGTCAATGACTAAATCATTGCCTTCAATGGTTAAAGTTGAGTTTTCGTTTACTAGTTCATGTGCTCTTCTTGCTTCATTTGTTTCATACGCATATGCAGCAATAGTCATATTTTAATGAGAATAAAATGTTGTTCTATTTGCAAAGTACTGACCCAAACGAATACGGAACAGTAAAGCTACAAACAAACTTAGGTCTTCAGAATGAAGCGCTTGCTTTCAGAGTTGTTGACTTCAATACTATCGCAACTTTTGTCATAACAGAGATGAAACAGATTTCATGGAGTTTGAAATAGATGACAAAAGAAGTGTTGTAACATTTCCTAACAGAGCCGAGTACAGAATAGATAAAATTGCTGGAGTCATAGATACTCTCATAAATGAAGAAACTATTGACAACATAGATGTCGAACTCTCTTCTGAGGGAACATTGAAGTTCAGTAGCAAGAAAGAGTTCAAGATACCAAGAATGAGTCATAGAGTACAACTTCTTCTGGGAGCATACCATATGACATTTCCTTTGAAAAGTGTTGACAAAACGATTGAGATGAAATCTGTTCCATACGTATGTTATGGTAATTGTTTGTACGTTGAGTCAAAAATAGCTAATGTCACAGGTATTTCAGGAGTTAATAGTAAAGGTTCAGTAGAATATAAATCCTTCTGTTATGCAGTCAATTCAATGTTCATTCCAAACGTTCCTGTCATAGCAACTCATTTAGGTAAATGGGTTCGCATTAGTCCTCATAATTTGAAAGACATGCAATTCAGACTTGTTGACTTTCAAGGAGAGCCTGTAGAACTGAAGGCACCAGTGCGAATGACTGTTGAAGTTGACTTTTTAGAAAATATTAAATGCAACAGCTTACAAGAGAACTCAGAGCTAAAAATATAAAGTATGAATGTTATGTATTAGGTCATGAACTTTGGTTGTTGCTGTTTGATGAAACAAATGAGTTAGTTATGCCAGTCAGAGAACAGAAAAAGGCGTCAAAGGCGCCGAGCGCAAAGCGCTATATTGTGTTAGTGAAAACTGCACCAAGTCAATAAGATTAGGTTTGCATTATGAAGATGAGTTCGATACTGTTGAAGAAGTTTTGGACAGATATTACTAATTGCTAACTTGAATTTTTTTGACTGACGGCGCAAAGCGCCAAGATGGGCTCAAAGAGCCTCCTGACTGCTTTAATTTACTAAAACATATTTCAAGCAAAGCTTATAGTAAGTAGATAGTTTTGTATACTCGTTCGAATATTTATACTTAAACTCAACTCCTGTAGTTCCTGGTGTTTCAATGATGCGGATGTTACCTATTTTCATGAATGGTGGCGTTTGACCACAGCATTCGATTTCAGGGTCGAGATAGTCAATGACACATTGTTTCCCTGTTATTCGTGATATAACATTTTCAAGGTCCTCCTTTGTTAGAATTATTTGGTTCTTGCTTATAAGATTTGTCAAAAGCTTCTTATCGTCTTTGAGTAAAATTGTTTGGTATAACTGAAGAAGGTAATGGTCTACGTTATCTGAAGGATTTGTTTGAACATTTGTGTAAGGGTTGTCGTTGGCTTCTCTTGAAAGAATTTGGTCCAGTGGTGGATACTCTAACTTAACATCTGATGTAGCGTTAGCGTTTGAAGCTGAGTTTAAATTCACGGCGCCATGCGCCATGATGGGCTCTTTGAGCCCTCCCGACTTAAGTTCTGGTTCTTTTTCTTTCAAACACTCTGAACTATAGTTCTTTATGACAATATTGTTTGTCGTTCGTGAGTCAACATTTGATGTTGGTTCAATTGGAACATTAACGGCACCAGCTAAGATGGATTTGCTTCTCATTTCATATAGAATAAAAACCTTTTATATGTATGAATGAACAATATACTCGACAAGGGTTTGAATGTAAAGCTAACGAATGAAAATATTGTTGAATTCACTGAGACAGGAGCTGTGTATAAAGATGTAGAACTACTGAACAAAAGAGCTAAGGGAAGAAGCAGGAATATGAACAAAGGGTGGAAGCCTATAAAAATTTATGTCAATGATGGCTCAGGAGGTTCAAACATAAAGTATGCAGAAAGTTATAGAGTTTATGCTCTCAAAGGTGAAAAGCCTTCATTTAAGAACAGCTATTCTAACACATATCCTCAAAAGCTAACGGATGGGGAAGTGGATGATATGAATGACAGCAAAAATATTAACAGAAATGGCGACAGAGATGCATGGAATTTGTTTACCATCAGTCAATTGAAGGTTAAACTTTAAAACAATGTTGGTCGTTCCCATGGAATGTTTTTGACTTTAATGGTATTAGTCATGATATGAATCTCAAGGTATGAACGAGGAGAGATGAGAGACTTATATGCTTCCCAAATTTCTTCAAAAGGTAATGTTATACCTGACTGTTTCCAAATGAGTTCAATGTCATAGCGTGAGAAACCTTGAAAGATAACGAAGTCAGTTATGAGACGTTTTATGTTTAAAGCAAGGAAACGCCATGTTTGCATAAGTATTGCTACAGTTAAGTGGTAATGTCTGACTTTAGTTATGATGTTAGCTAATGGTGAGTCTGCTTTTGACACTAAACCTTTTCCGGCGAAGTCGTCGCAAACTAACAAAGTATTTGAAGGATATTTTTTGAAGGGGTATTTTGAAAGTTTTGACAGAATGTAGTTTGTAAGTCGTTTCATATCGTAAACTCCTGAGTATTGACGTAAGTGGTGTTTGTCAATAATTCTTTCCATCTCCTCAGAAGTCTTTTGCATTCCTGACTGTATAAATTCAACAATGGCATAATATTTCCTCTTACGTCGAATGTAACGTTGAAGAAATTCAATGAGTTCACTGTCTGGAACTTTAACGACAGAGGCTTGAACTTTTGACATAAATGTTTTCGCTGTTGAGTCCATAGAGTCTGAAGTTGCTGATATAATGATTTGGTCATAATATGAGTCATTTCCTAAACGTTCTGTTATGAGTATATGACGAATGAGGTTAAATGTCTTACCTGAACCCATCTTTCCACAATAGAAATAAACACCATTTGAACAGAACTCATAATCTTTGCTGAAAGGAAGAATAAGAGAAGAGTTAAGTTTGTCTGTAGTTTCATTCATGTCTTCATCTACGTCATGTATTAAATGCTTCATTTTATCTCCATTAAAAATGCAAGTCAGAAATATTCAGAACATAGCACCGAGTCTAACTGACAAGAGTATAAAGATATACTATGAACATGTTATGATGAAACCAACCAAAATTCAAGAAAGTCAGTATACTTATGAATATCCAAGACACTGGGTAGAGTATGTAGGAGGTGAGAAAGCTATTGAAATCAGACAGGTTCGAAGTATTCCAGCAGGAAGAACAATATTATTGAAGAACTTTAATGTTTTGAGGTATAATGATGAGACAAAGAAGCAAGATAGTTTTCCTGTTGCTGTGTATGTGAACCTAGACACAGGAGATGACATGAAAGTTTTTAACACAAAGCTTCAAACGGTAGTGAGAGAACAACTGACTGCGGAAGGACATCCATTACCTTCAGAAGTTACCATAGTATATAATTTTGAAACAAATGCAATAGATTTTAAAGTCGTCTCTGCAAAGAAGTCAGGTTTTACATTTAATGAAGCAGATGTATATTCGAATGAAAACTTCAAAGCTATTGCATGGTTAGATAATGACGATTGCTTTAAGAAAATATTTAAATTCAGTGACTCAACGATGTCAATAGATGACCTTCGTGGAATGTTACCATCGACGTTTACAGTAGAAGGTTCAGCAGGATTGCTTACAAGATTGTCAATTGGTGGTATTTGGTCTCGTGAGAACATTGTTATAAAATCCAGTATAAGTGAATTTGCTGAAGAATCTATATTATGTCTTTCAAACTATATGTATTCGCCGCCGAAGCATTATAGTATAACAAACTTTGTCAGTAAGTTTAATATAAGACTTGTTGAACCTTCTTCAATGAAAGATGTTGTGCTACCCAAAGACGGAAAGGATGGACTCATTATTGAGATGATTTTAATAGCATATTAAATGAGCTTGTTCTTGAAGGTCATTCATGATGAAATAACTGTTGTAGAAGATGTTAGCAATTGTTCAGACATTTTGAAGCGTATAGATGAGATAAGAAAGAAGTTTATGAAGCCGCAACGCGGCGAGGACGAAGTCCATGAGAATGTTTATGTTTCATTGACTTTCTCCAGTAAAGAGAACTTTTATGAGATAATATTGAAGAGAGATGATTTTAATATGGTGTAAATGGTAGCTTGGACAGCTTTAGGCGCAATGGGAACAAAAGCATTAGCATTTGGAGCAAAAGCACTTGGGGCTTATGACGCAGTAAATAAAATGAGTGGAGGAAGAGTTTCGAAGACATTAGATGCAAATAAAGGAAAGATTGGAGGCTGGGTTGCAAAGAAGTTAAGATTAAATAAAATAGGGCTCATAAATAAAGCATCCAATTTGGTTGCGACTGAGTCAGAAAATGCTTTAGGAAAGGACGATGAGTTTGCAAAACATGCAAAAGACTTTAATGACCAGATGAAAGGTGAAACAATGCATTTAAATAGAGTCGATGGAACTAAAGAAAATGTTTCTTCTCCACCAGTAGTTCTTCCGTATGGTCCCTATGGAATGTATGGAAACCCTTACGAAAGACCATTTGACCCATTGACTGGTGGAAGTAACTGGTATCATTACGGACGAAGAAGAAAGACAGTCAAGTTGGAGACAGACGTGAAGAAAGCAACTAAAAAGAAACCAAGGAAGAGAGTTATAAAGCAATGAATTCAAGTGGGTGAAAAAAGAGGTGAAAAAAGAGGTGAGATTTCACCACTTCACCTAAATTTAAATGGATGTTTTCATACGTGTGAGGGTGGTGATATCATTAATTTTTTATTTTATTTTTAAGTTTACTGAAAATTTTTATTTGGATGTAAATGACAGAACAAAAGCAACTCATTCGAATTCCACAGTATAACAAACATACATTTAAACATTTATTCTTCCTTCCTGAGCATAACATGTTCTTTCAAATACATCCGAGACCAGTTGACTTTTCATTGACTGTTTATAAAGATAGAAATAGTTATATCATTAAACCATACGATGACGAAGGTAAGTTATGTAAATTGTACGTTAAGAAGTTAGAGAAAGTTTATGGCTTCAAGTATGACTACAATAGGGTTAACACTGATGATGAAGATATTGAGGAAAATTTATGAGAACATTAGTGAAGTTGTTAGTGAGAACGATAGTGAGAACGTTTATTTTTACATTAGTGAGTTCGTTAGTGAAGTGAAGTGGGTGGTGGTTTTGTAAATATTTAAGGTTAAGTTAGTGTTGTCGTTTGTGTTGTAAAATATACGTTAACGGTTTCGTAAAGTGTCAAATTCACAAGTATTGGGTAAGGTGGAACGCAGTGCCACAATACCCAACATAACCATACTAACTACTCTCATCACTGTTGTGATTCCAAATGCGATTATTAAGGTTCAAGTCGCTAATGTTTTGAATGAAGAAAGAGCAGTAAGAATTCTTACAAGGGCAGGTAATCAGATTGTTGAGCAAAGAGCTTCAAAACACGATGAATGTTTGAAATTAATTCAACACATTTTGGAAATTGTCGAAAGCCGATGGATTGAACCTAATGTCCTTATTCCATCTTTGAAGGCAATATTAAATTTGGCACAAAGAAGTTGAAAGGAAGAGTAAGCAAGATTAGATAATTTGGACTTTTTTTAAAATTAATGAATAAACAGTATATTTTTGAAGTGTAAGCTTATTTACCTGAAGCTATATTACTTAATATAACATTCAAAGTATTATTGCTATTTATTGGAGAACAAATTTATGTAATTTTCACATGAAAATTGATAAATTTGTATTTCCTTATGATAATCAATTTTTGTATTTGTAGAGAGTCTCCCTGCATGATATCAAGACTTGGCTATTAGTCTTTATCCATTTTTGAAAATTGTATTGTAAATTGTAAGAATTTCTGAATACTACTACTATAAAATATAATTGCTTATCAATGTATATTATCCCTGCATGATATCAAGACTTGGCTATTAGTCTTTATCCATTTTTGAAAATTGTATTGTAAATTGTAAGAATTTCTGAATACTACTACTATAAAATATAATTGCTTATCAATGTATATTATCCCTGCATGATATCAAGACTTGGCTATAAGTCTCTATTCATTATGAGTATGACCCCTTTTTTTACAAAAAGTGCCGAATTGCAACTTTGTCCCAATCTCATCAAAAAAATGAGATAAAAAATACGTTTGGAAAATTCATTTTTTAGCATTTTAGGAATTTTCGCACTTTTCTTCCAAATTGACATCCTTATCACATATGATTGTTTATAGAAACAATAAATATCCGCACGCTTATCAAAATGTTTGGAGCACTTAAAAATGTTTAATACAAAGTAGAAGTTAATTGTAAAGAAGAGATTTTCGCATTGAGTTATCAAAAATTATGAGATGATGATTTGTCGCATATTTGCTCCTTGGTTGTCAAGATGTAAATAGAATCATTCTAAAATTTAGAGAATAACAAACATATGAAACTTCCTAACTGCGTATCCGGAGCGAGTATATAAGAATTTCTGAAAAAGTGACACCCAAAAAGTGACACTTTCAATAGGGAGTAACACTTAAAAAGTGACAATTTAAAATTCACAATAAATAAAAATAATAAATTTTTTAGTCTATTAAATTATTCTTTTCTTTGAAATCCTCTAAAAATTCTTCGAAATGTTCTAAAATATAATCTGGAGAATTATAACAAAATTCATTAATTTCTAACATATACGTATCTAACAATTCATTTGGAATTTCAAACGATCTTAAATATGTAATTGAATTTTGTATCTTCTCATTTATTTGAGAAAGTTTTTCTTCAGCATTTTCCAATAAAAATCTTAATGGATTCAAATTGGCTTCTTGATTCTGAACAAAATTTAATACTTGGTATAAACGTGATTGAACTTCTCTTTTCAATTTTGTTTTATAATCTGTCAATCGAGGCTCGCGAATTCTAATTGAAGGAATAAAACCTGTTTGAAGTAAATCGTTTTTAATACGATAAAAGTAATTGGGTGCAACTTCTTCTAAAAGATTTTTGACAAAAACATCAATTCTTTGATTTTTAACGCAGCCAAAATAAAAAAAAAAAAAAAAAAAAAAAAGGTAGTGGGGCTTCCAGGGGCTGCGCCCCTTCTAGCCCCGAAGATGTTTAGTATAAAATGAGGTTTTTATTCGGAAAATTGTTAGTCTTCTGGTGTGAATTCGGAGGACTCTTCGTGTTTCTCTTCTTCGTGTTTCTCTTCTTCTTCCTCTTCCATTGCTTCTGGGAAGAAGTCTTCTTCTGGGTCGAAAACATTATATAATGTGTAATTGAATGACACATTATATCTTTGTTTGAGTTCGCTCTTGACAAAGAACTTAGTTCCAGGAATACAGAAGACTTCTGTGCGTTGGAAAAGCTGATGTCCTGGAACAAATTTGGCAATTAGAGACTTCTTTTTTCCGAATTGTTCAGGAGTTTCCATGACGACAGTAACAACATCTCCATCTGCGAGGTCTTGTTGTTGTTCGGAAAGGTAAAGAGCAATGATATAAATGGTTGCTGCGTTGAATTCGAGAAAGTCGAATTCAAATTGTGTTGTCGTATAGCATTCAAACCATTTTGTACAGTTGTCTCCGAACTCGTCAACGTATTCATCTTGGTCATATCCGTAACTAAAGACTTGGAATTCGGCAATTGTCTTGTCGAATGACCGTTGGATGTTACGAGGAAGATTTTGACGAACTTGGTATAAAGTTCTCAACATTATAAGCTTAGTAAATGTTGGAAAATACTGAACTAAGACATCGCTAAGCTCAATTGGACTTGGAATTGTCTTAGTAAGTTCAATTGAACTAGCAATTGCTTTGTTCAGAACTTCACAGAACTGAGTATTGTATGTAGCGTCTGGTTGTGTATTTTCTTCGGCGTCTTTGAGATATTTAGAGCAAATTTGTTGAAGAATTTCTCTTAATTCGCTGTTAGACTTTTTGGTGGTTATTCTAACCGCTGTGCCGGTTCTTGGAGGTTGTGGGGCTTTGGCTTTGGTTAGCGGTTGAGAATTGTTAATGTTGGCTTCCATTAGACAAAAATAAACTGTTTTTTTCGGACTACTCATAGAAAAGTTTAAAATAAACCGTTTTCGTCAACGGTAACCCCCTCTATTTTTTTATTTTATTGAAAAGTCTCCGTTGGCAAACCGTTCCATCTCAAATATTGAATGAACTATAAACGTTTTTTGTTTTCTATACATACTTTTTTGTCCAACGGTAAAACTTTTTACACAACGGTTTTTGAGAGTCGTCGCCGTTGACTTTTTTGTAGAGCACTCAAAATAGTATAACTTTGTCCGGACAAGTAAGGGTCTATCGTCGCTACAGGAAAAGTTACAGGCGTTCCAAGGAAGTATACTTTGAGAAGCCTTTCCCCTTTTAAAACAAGATAGGACGGTTATTTTACAAAACCGACAACACTTTGACCGAGTAGTTTTTTGTGCTGAACAAAAAGTGTCATATAAACATCTGTCAAAAACCGCTTTTTAACTTCACTTAAAATGCCACGTAAGCTACGTAAGAATATACGTAAGAGGAAGAGAGCATTGAAACATCCAATAGTAAAACTGACACCACAACAACAGTTGCAACAACAAATGCTGAATGACCCCACTATGTTGCAACAAATGTCAAGCAATCCTATGCTTTTAAACCGAGTTGTTGGTGCACAGAGTGGAGGTTTAAGAGCGGCACTTTTAGCGAAAATGGCAGGCTATGGTGGAGCTGCAGACGGAACAGCTATAACCCTCAAAGTCAAATGAATTTGAGTTCACTCAAAAATCAAATAACAGATGTCAAAAAGTCAAACATAGACATACAGAAGCAAATAAGTGAAAACGAAAAGAAACTAGAATATGACAGACACACAAAGAAACTAAATGAGTTAAACGTAGAGAAAAAGAAGAAAGAAGAACAACTGAAAGAACTAAGTACAGAGGAATATGCAAAAAAAGTGTCAGAAAAAGCAGCAGAAGTAGCAAAAATGGAACAAGATGTCATAAATTTGAAAAACCATACTACTCAATATAAAATACTGAAAGATGAAGAGATAAAAACAAAAAGCCCTGAAGACATATATGGATAGCGATGAGTATAAAAAAGAAGTTGAAGCAAATGTAAAGGCAGAAAAACTTTTACAGTTGCAAAACCAAACCGTACAGTATGAAAACTTAGCACAAGAAAGTAAAAATAACGACGCGGCTATGCAAAAGGCAATGAAAAGCGCAGAATATATAAAAGCTAATAATGACTGGTTAGATGCCCAAGCCAACGCCAAAGCAGCCCAACTTATAGGGTCAATAAGGACAAAAATACAAGCGGATGAAGACAGTTCAAATGAAGCTTTAACGAATGCTGACTTTAAGAACGCCTTCGAAGCTCTTCATAGTAAGGTGAAACAAGTGAACGACTTCTCATCTGGAAAGAAACTGAAGTCTGAAGGTTTCGACAAAGAGTTAAGAGAAGTAGCACAAAATATGACGAAAATAACAGATGCAGCAACGAGACAGGCAGTTCAAAGTGCCTATGACGCCGTTAGAGCAACTGTTGTGAAAAGTCAAGAAAAAGAGTTACAACAGACCAAAACAGACCTAGTAAATGCTTTCTTAAGAACGAAAAGTCAGGTAGGACATTATGCTGCAGATGGAACATATGTGCCAGCTGGTGGAACTTATATACCACCAAACCCTCCAAGAGAAGCACCTGCACCAGGACTACCTAGAACATTTACATCGTCACATGGACACAGACACAGGCATGCACCAAAAACCAACACAACAACCAACACAACAACCAACACAACAACCAGCACACAACAACCACCTCCACAACCAGCACAACAACCAACACAACAACCAGCACAGCAACCAACGTTCAAAAAAACCCTGCACAAACAACAACCACAAACAGAGCAAGGACATAAAAAAGTAGAGAACAAGGAAACCAAGAATTCTTAAAAATGCTTAAAGAAGAGTGTGGTTTCCCAGATACTGTTGGACTTTAGTGACAGATATAAAGAAGCTATTGGAAAGTTCAAGGATGGAAATACTGACCCGAACCTATTTAGCTTTATGGCTCAGCACCAAAACGGATATAATCTCAAACCTGGAAAATACACAGCTCGCTAAGAGGATATGATTTAATAGCATATCATCCAAATGACATGGATGAATTTACTCCGAGATATTTGATGTCAGAGCTAAATGACAATTCAACTTCGTCATGAAACGCGTAAAAAATAGAGACGGAAACGAAAGAACAAAAGCTTATGAATGCGGATGACGTAGATAGGAAATTGTTGAAAACGGTCTCGGAATATATGAAATGCCAGCAGATGAGGTACAGAAACTCCACAGGAAGGAAGTTCAGATACAACCAGACATGGAAGAAATTAGTTTCAGCAACAACAGCTAGAAGAAGCCTGAAGGAAACGAACAAGTCCCTCCTTTGGAAACTAACTTCACAGAACCAGATGAAGATTTGGAACAGCCGAAAAATCTTGACCTCAACAAGTGTATGCGGAGAATATGGAATCTTTCCAAGAGTCTAGAAAAAAATTCGGCTGACATATAGAGAGAATATCGAAAAATGTTCGCCGACATACAAAAGACTCCAGCACCAGATGAAAATATTCAGGCATAGAATGGAAGAACTGAAAAAAAATGTACACAAAAAACAACCCTTTTTACTTACGAGCATTTAACGTTCAATCTTCGGATGAACTCGGTGAAGATAAAAGGTTAAATTTCAAGAAAACATATAGAAATGAAACATTGTTTAAAGTTCATTCAGAACCTAACCAAGATGGAAACAAACCTACTTTTGTTTCTGCAGACGATGGAACTACAATGAGATGGGGTCATAAAGCTAATCCGGATAGGTGGTTCATAAACTTACAACCTCAATTCAAGAAGTTGTAGACGCAATGGAAGTGAATGGTGAACCAGATTAGCTGGTATTTTCAGCGCGGCTTTAATGCCATTGAAAGATATGAAAGATGCAGATATTTTGAACCAGTATGAAATGAACATGGCTGATGGAAATATAACACCTGACGTTCTAGAACATTTATCTCAAAGAACTACACAGAACCATAGAGATGGTATTTTGGTGAAGAGTTTAGAAAGAAAGTTATGGACAGCGAAGGAAGAGAACCTATTGTACATGACCTTGCAAACGAAAGTTTACAAAATGTCATAAAAACTTACTTTGCAGACAATGAACTGGAAGGGATGAATATTTAAGAAAACTCAAATGGACAGTACCAGATGAAATGTTAGTATTGAAAAACATGTTCCTTGACAAAATAAAACCAACTACAGAAATAAACGACCGCAAGACTGAAAGATTGGTAGAAGCTTTCCCATTCACAAAAGATATAGTTGGTAACATGGAAAGAAAACCAGAATGGCTACAAAAACATATATTTGGAAACGAGCTTATTCCATATGGACAAGCTCTGTTTGAAGAGCTTGAACGGAAACTCAGGAAAGAGTCATGCAAACAATACGCGAAGACTCAAATACAGACTATGACAAACTCTTTCTAGGATATAGGTTACCTGAGATGGGCGACCAGAGCCAAAAGGCAAAAAGGACATGGGAATTTGCAACATACTAGATGAACATAATGCAAAGATGCAACAACTTCAAGCAGAGGGCAATGAAGGAAAAAGAAGAGTTAAAAACTCAGTCAGGAAGAAAGTAAAGCTTGGTCGGAGTGGGTTCTATTATGACATATAAATCCCAACTATTCTATATTTTACTCATATGAAATGTACGCCGCTCAGAATATAACGCCAACAGTTTTGGATGCCATGAATGGAAATGTTTCCGAATGTATAACGAATGCGACAATGCCATTAGAAGGTCAGAAATAGTTCCTGGAACTTACGAATATACAACTGCTGTTTCTTATGGAAAACGTAGGTGAGTTTGGAGAAGGTTCTTCAACAACAGTAGATATTGCTTGCGACAGGTTTCATATTATATTCTATTGACAACTCTTTCTTATACGTGGAACAAGACATTGAAATAAAACCTTCTGCCAAGTTGTCTGACAAGAAAGGTTGCAATGGAATTTTCTATGTCGGATACCAATATGCTCCAGAAGTTTTCATGGGATATAAGATATATTCTAACTCTGACTTAGTTCAAACAGTAACATGGGCAAACTATGAATGGTTCGCTTTAAAACTCAGTACAACCACAAGCTAGAGAACAAACAGACCAGTATGCAACTATTGAGAAAATAAGAAGACTTGACCCTAACGTTCCAGGAGTTTATGTTAACCTTTCTGGTTCAGATGGAAATGCTGTCACTAAAGTAAAACTGAAACTTAGAGTTCCTTTGTCATCTTTCCTCATCTTCAGGTTTTTAAGATACTTGCCAAACTGGGCAGGAAAATTTCTATTGAACTTACTCCAAGCAAAATAACTTAGTCATTGCACCAACACAAGACCCATTCACTATTACTGTAGCTGGAACTGGTGGAGCCAAGTTCTGTGACTTTTGCAAAGACAAAGTTGACTTAGACTTTGGTTTCTCAAACTTCAACACTGAAGTAAACTATTATTTCAATGCTGCTGGAACTGCTTGGGACCCAGTTAAGTTCACATGCGAAAAATTTGAATGCAAGAGAATAGAAAGCAGACTTGCAGTCTATATGTTGGACCCAGATATTTCAAATGCTTTAGCTGCCAAATATATTGCAGTTCCACTTATGTTCCCTATACACCAAATATCTGTCAAAGACTTTGCAGGTGAAGTTGGAAACCAAAGTGCTGACCCAGGTGCAAGAACAGATATTGCTTTAACAACTGCAATGAAACATGCAGATACTATGTTTGTACTGTTCAGACGAACTATAAATGACTATTCTTGTTTCTACAACCCTGGTATTAAATACATATAAACATAGATGGCAAATATTATCCAAGAGAAGAATATTCTACAGTTGAGGATATGAGGTCATACAACTTGACATTAGATGCTATGAACTTTAACAACAACTTCACAACAACCATTAACCCTGAAATGCAAAGTTCTATTATGCCATATGTGAAAG